AAATGGTGATTTTTCCATTTTCCTAAGGACAAAGTCCTCGCAAAAAAAGTGGATTCATTTCTGTCGTCGGGAAGACAAAATCAATGTAAAAAATGCGTGCATATGTGAAGTTCACTTTTCACCAGGAGATTTCGAAAGGAATTTGCAGTTTGAAATGGGTAAGAAGAGAAACGGTATTGTAGTGACTTTATTTTATAAAACATATCAAATATTATTTTAGGTTTATGCTCCAGAAATCCTACAAAGCTGCTAACCAGTGCGTTTCCGACCATTTTATCAACGGGCTCAAAGAAGACTGATGAGCGTCAGGAAAGAATTGAGTCTCGCTCAAGGAAGCAACTTGTATCAACCCTGTTAAACAATCCAGTTAGTTTTGTTGAAGAAATGTGTACTGAGCATGATGAAGAAGCACTACAACCCATGCTGGAAGAAGTCGTTGACGAGAAAGAGGAAAGAATTCAACAATTGGAAGTGAAAATGTGGGTTGGATAATTGAAACCAATGTTAAGTAATGTACATGATTATATGAACATTGTAGAGAAAAACTAAAGAAGAGTATCTCAACTTTGAACAAAAATAACCTTAAACAGTCGGCAGAGATAAAACGCCTAAGGATTTGTATCAAAACTTCGGAATTTCACTGTGCAAATTTGGAAGAAAAGCTCGGTTGCATTTTCACTAAAGGTCAGGTAAGTACCGCTACTCTATGAATAATTTTACACACAATACTACATAGTTTCTTACTCGCAGATTGAAAAATTGAAAAGTGGAAACAAGCGGTTGAACTGGAAAGAGGAGGACATTGCCAAGTCCATTACGCTGTATTCAGCGAGTCCAAAAGCATATAAGCTTTTGAAAAGAAATAATTTTCCCTTACCAGCTGTTCGAACTCTTCAATGGTGGTCGAAAAAAATTGATATATCTCCAGGTATCATAGAGCCCGTGACGAAATTATTGACGGCAGCAACTGAGTTAACACAAGCGCAAAAAACTTGCGTACTCAGTTTTGATGAGATGAAAGTGCGAAGGGCTTTCTGCTATGACAGATCATCTGATGCCACATTACCTCCTGTTAATTACGTCCAAGTTGCAATGTTGAGAGGTACATATCTAAAATTCCAGCATTTTATCTAATTAATGTCAATCTTTATTTTCTTTCAGGTTTAATACGTAAATGGAAGCAGACTGTATTTTATGAGTATGACTGCAAAATGACAAAAAATATACTTTGGCACATTTTATCAACAGTCAAAAAAATGTGGATACGATGTTGTGGCCATTGTTAGTGTCTTGGGTGGAAGTAACATAGCACTATACAATGAGCTTGAAGTGGATATGGAGAAGCCTTGGTATATTTAGACATAGTTCTAAAATTCCGAAAATACATATTAATACTTTTGTTTCTTCTTTTACAGGTTTTCACATGAAGGGGACAGAATTGTAGTTTTCGCTGATGTTCCCCATTTAATCAAACTGCAAAGGAATCATTTTGTTGATCACGGATTCCTCATAAATGGAAAAGTAATTAAAAAGGACATCATTTTAAAACTTCTTGCGTTTACTTCCAGTGATCTGTCAATCACCCACAAAATTTCAAAAAAGCATTTGCTTGTTACGGGAGCAGAAAGGCAAAAGGTTAAGCTAGCTACAAAATTATTCTCGCACACCATTGCTCAAGCCATATCACGAGCAGCTAGTTTGGGCTTATTAGAGGACGAGAATTGGGAAGAATGCTTTAAACTTTTTAAAATTGTGAGTAATAACGAGTATTTTAATTTTTAAAAATACACATTTAAAACATTTACTTTGTAGACGAATGACTGGTTTGACATAATGAATGTCAGAGTGCCCAAAGAAGGAGTAAGGGAGCGACTACATGCCTATGGTTTGGCTTTAAATACCCAGAATAATTTTTAGAACAAATGACCGCGATGGTTTCAGCGATGAGAGTTGTTGGAAAAAATACTCTGCTACCATTCCAAAGAGGTATACATACATATGTATATATGACTTACATTATAATACTTAGGTTTTTGTCCAAAGTGGTTATTGGTTTGAATTTTAATTTAATTGTATTTCTTATTTGTTTTATTATATTCAGTCTTATCGCCAATCCCATGTGAATAAATCGTTCCTATAATTTATAAGGCAAAACAAAAACAAATTGAGAAAAATTTGTTTTTGTCTTGCTTTATAAATGTTGGGAATATTTGTTCACATGGAATTCCCGATAAGGCCGATAATATTTTATTTTCAGGTATCCTTCAAAGTAACAATGCGTTGAAATTACTTTTGTCTGATAAATACAAAATCGACTACATATTGACGTATCGCCTAAATCAAGATGTTTTGGAAAATTTTTTTGGCATTATTAGATCGAAAGGAGAGCTTCACGACCACCCTGACCACCAAGAGTTTAAATATAGGCTGCGGTCATACATACTTGGGCACAACGAAGGTGTATTGTCTGAAGGAGGGAACGTTGAGGTCGACGACACCCCAGACTTAGAAGGGAATTATTTATCTCTAACCGGTAAATAAACTTACAAAATACTAATATATCTTGTCTT